ACGAGAACCTGAAGAACAGACGTGGACTCACCGAGGACCCTGAACAGCATGTACTGGACTCCCACCGCGAAGGACTTGTCCTCTGTGGGCACCGACCTGCAGAACCAGCACCACAGAGGAAGAACCAGCCGTCTGGTTAGAGACTCATCTGACGTTCATTAAACCGAGATACAAAACACAGATAAATCATGTTCCAAAGGTTCCCAGAACGTTCCCTGATGGTCATTTGTGAGGTTATTTCGTGAAACCTTAAGGGCCCTTTAGGGAACGTTGCCTGAAGGTCGCCTCGAGATTTCCCAAAAGACCTTCAGAGAACCTTCTGGGAACCTTCACAGAAACATGTGGTCGTTTACAGAAGCGGTTTTTATCTTCGTACCGGAGTATCATCATGTACGACGGCGTCTGGGAGAAGGCGGCGATGAAGCTGGTGAGAGCCAGAAGAACCATGAAGGGCCGCAGGAGGTGAGAACATCCACTGCCACAGGTCCCAGGGAGGGCGACGGCCAGACCACCGACACACCGACAGTCAGTGTAGTTCTGCAGAGAACCGACGTACTGTCAGAACACTGAGGGAACACTGAGAGAACTCTGTCAGAACACTGATAAAACGCTGTCAGAACACTGTCAGAACATTGAGAAAACACTGATAGAACACTGATAGAACATTGTTAGAACACTGATAGAACATTGTTAGAACACTCATAGAACACTGATAGAACACTGATAGAACACTGATAGAACATTATTAGAACATTGATAGAACATTGTTAGAACACTGATAGAACACTGTTAGAACATTGTTAGAACTCTGCTCATCGTTGTTCAGCAGAGCTCTACAGCTACAACTAACTAGATTTTTTTTAATGTTCCAAAAACGTCCTGAGAATGTTCTGCAAAGTTCTAACAATGTTTTTGGCGTTAAGTTTTTGTTCTCAGGATGTTCTTCTTTGGGGCGGGTCAGTAAAGATGTTCTAAAAATGTTTGGTGGTAACATTGTTAGACCGTTAACTGAATGTTGCACCGAGAACTTTGTTCTTCTGTCGTCACTGTTATGTTATCACTGTTTTATAGGTTCTATAATATGTTCCCTTGGCAACACCTCCAGAACATCCTCAGAATGTTCCACCTTTGTTAATATAGCACCATACAGGAACATTCTGTCACTTGGGGTCTTAATAACATCTTGAAAATGTTTTTTTTAATATTGCATCGATAACATTTTTGGAAACGTCTCGCAGAAGAACGTTCTATTCTATGTTCCCTCAACAACATCCCCAGAACATTGCAGCCTTTGCTAATACGTCACATCACAGGAACGTTTTAGAAAAACCATCTTCAGGCTCGATGACGTCTGGAGAACATATTCTGAAGGTCGTTTTGAGAACGTTCCTCCTTCGTTCTTGAGGAACACGACACATTAAAAAGTGCAGAACAGAAGGTCTGAAGACAAAACCATGTTTCAGATTCTACATCTGGACGAAGAAAACAACGAGATGATTTTAAAAATTCAATGTAAAATTAAGTTGCATCAACGTTGCTCTGATGTTAATCGTTTAGTTCACTGAGTTTAAATACGTTAATTTAACATTTCTGTTGATTTTTAGGGAAACAACATTTTGTCTGACAAACGTTTTGTTTTGTTTGAACTGCAGACGTGAGTTTAAGGATATTTAAATACTGAGAACAACAAACATGAGTTTAAATTACACACAATAACATAATTATTATTATTATTATTATTATTATTATTATAACTCGTCAAAATAATGTTTAAAACCTAAAAGTTTCATCTAAATCAATCCATTAAATGTTAATACGGGCCACTTTTCAGAATCAGAAAAAGGAGAAAGAGACAAAGTTTCTGGTGAATCCAGAGAATGAAATCAGATTCTTTTCCTTGTTGGCGACGAAACTAAAACCTCCTGATGAGCCCGACCCGTTTCAACCTTCCAGGAAAGACTCAACTGGTTCCAGTTACAGGAAACTCTTCTGGATGAACATTTCACATTTTTTCGCTACTTCTGATGGATTTCAGAAGTTCAAAGTCGGAAACATCCCGGGCCTCATTTATCAGAAACGGTTCTAAATCCTGTCGTACCAATGAAACTTAGAGTGTGCAGAAGTACGAAGAAATGTTCCAAAAGTGGTTTGACGTTAAGCTCAGCGCATCACAGCCCATAAAAGAGAACTGATGCAACTGGAGGAGGACGAGTTCATACCAACGTCCACCCAGTGGATAACCCTAATCACTGCAGGTGACATGTTTAATAACCAAACTAAGTCCAGCTGAAACATCTCCACTCTGTGACACTCACCAATAAGCCAGCCGTCCTCAGCAGCTCCTGCTTGGAGACCCACAGAACTGTTCTGCTCAATAGCCACAAATGTGCATCACAAATTATCTGGACGTTGATTGAATGAAACCCTTTTCTATGAACGTAATTGGGCTCATCAGTGACGGCTGTAAGGGAACTGGATGTAGGCTGGGACCAGGGGACTTATGGCATCCAACACTGCCGGCTTGATCCTGCTCAGTGATGCTGGAAACGCCTCATATCTCCAGCCTCACGCTGGAATGTGAATCCCTGAATGCTTTCTATTTGTAGTTTCATTATTCTACCGCTGGATCATGTGTGTGGTCAGAGCTGCGCTTATATTTACACACATTGCTAAGTTGATGAATTCCATCCTTTGGGACTGGATGTTCGAACGAGGCCCCAGAGTCACATCCTGAACATCTGGACAGCTACTCACATGCACGTTTTCAGTTTCTGACTCTTAGACATCAGATTATTCACTTTTACTTAAATCGTCTCTGCAACAAGCATCTTCTACGTTTTTCTTTGGTCACTAGAAGAAAAGATTTTACCCTTGACTGCACCTGGTCGCCTCTCGATTTAGCTCCGCCTCCTGGACTACGCCGACAAATAGAGTCGACTGTCAAGTGACTTCAGACGGGTTTCAGGCGTACAGGTCATATTTGAATGGATCCTAAACCTGTTTTCTTTGTCATCATGAACAAGTGTTTGTAACTCAGGACACGTTTCAAGTCATTTTAAACTGACTTTGAGTCGTTTTGGACACGATTCAAGTCACATGAGTGTGTTTTTGTCATCTTGGATGTGTTTCAGCTGGATGTATCTCCACCAACTGGCTCCTCTGGTCTCTGGTTCTGATCCGTGCTGCATCCATTCATTGATCCAGCAGGTTGGATTTTCATCTAGTTTCTGAACTCTCTGAATGTTTTGGTCACAGCTGAGTCATAAATCAGGATTTTTAGTTTTATTCAGAATCTGGAGCGTTTTTTCCAGCTTCCTGAATGAGATGAAGTGATTTTAGGGTGGATTTGGTTGATTTCCTGTTGAAACGATTCGTCTCAGATGCTCTGGCTGATAAATGGCGAAACATGAATTTTAAACCCGATGACGGCGTCTTCAGGGTTAAACAGTGAATGTGTGAAGTTTTCAGTCGCTGATTTAACCAAACGTCACAATGAGAAATCCATCTGGCGTCTACATTGGTCTCACGGTGCACATTAACGCCGTCTGTTTCCAATCGTGACCTCTTCCACAGAAATAAACACCGGGGGAGTAACAGCTCCACAGAAAACAGGGCGTGTCGGTGGAAATGAGGACAGATTGTAATCTTAGGACTTCTGAAGGAGTGAAAGCAGTAAGCCAGAGTGACAACAGGAAGTGAAAACCTGCAGTGAAATCATTCTTACTGTGACTTTGTTGTCGGCGTCGGTTTCGACAGACAAACAGCCGGCATGGCAAGGCGACCTGAACTCAACGCCATCAGAACCACAGACTGGGTTAAAGGCCTCCTGAGGACACCGACAGCCAGAACTGCAGGACAACTCCCTGGTAGTGGAACCATACAGACAAGATCCGATTAGTTCTGTGTTCGAGGGAAAATGAGTTCCCCAACAGTCGGTAGATAACAAACCTGTCAGTGGCAACGTTAGCTCAGTGTCAGGAGTAAAGCTGGTTCCCTAAAAGTGTTGCAATTAGTTCCCCGTCAGTGATTAAATTCCTCATCAGCAGCAAAAATTAGTTCCCAGTACGTTGTTCAATTAGTTCCCTGACAGTGTTGATATGAGTTCCACGTTCCACGGTGATGTTCTTTCTGTGTTCATGGAAAAATGAGTTCCCCAACAACCAGAAAATTAAAGCCTAGTCAGTGGAGAAATTAGTTCCCTGAAAATAATGAATAATGATGCATTTCATTTCTATTGTTTGACGTATTTTTTTGATTCTGAGAAAACCGTCTGCATTTGTTCCCCGTCAGTGGTGAAGTCAGTCAGCTGACAGCAGTGATTTTAGTTCCCTGTCATATTATTTCTGTTTGTGGAAAAATGAGTTCCTGAACAGTCATGAAACAACAGCCGTGAGTGGTGAAGCTCAGTGTCGTTCATGAGATCAGTTCACAGGCAGAAAGACACAAACTATTCAGGGGGAAGAATTAATTCCCTGTTCGAGGTCAGATTAAGTCCACATTAGCAGGAAGGTACCTGGAAGGAAACACGCCAGCGACCGTCTGTGTCGGGCAGCCAATCAGGAGCAGCGGCATGGCGGAGAACATGCAGAGCAAGATGGCCGCCGTGCACAACTTGCTGGAGCCACTGACGGAAAGATTGAACCTTCGCATCAGAGCTCCGCCCAGGACGGTTCCCAGCACCGCCATCGGGATCCCGACCGCTCCTGGAGGAGAGAAACCGGGACAACAAACAGGAAGTGGTTTTCAGAGCGTTGGCGGTTCTCGGGGTTGTGAAATAAAGACGTTAGCGCCACAACCAACCGATCATCATGGTGGAGAAGGACACCGTCTGGCTGAACTGCCTCTCGATGAACTTGGCCATGAAGGTGGCGAGTCCGGACAGCAGCGCCGCCAGGTTCACCTGAGCCAGAACCACCAGCAGGTAGATCGGACTCCTCAGCGTCCGCAGAGCGATTCGAGGGAAACCTGAGGAGCAGCAGAGAGCGATGGAGGCGTTCAAGGTCGGCTCCCTGAACGAAGGCCTCAGACGTGGAGGTTTGTTCCCTGACCGGGCCCTGCTGTGGTTCGTTTGTGTCTCTCTGTTATCAGTTTGTGTTGTTTGTGGTCACTGTGTGTCTCTTTACCGTCAGTTTGTCTCTTTTATAGTTTGTCTCTGAGTTTCCTGCGACGGGGTGAAGAAGTCACACTGAACAAACTGGACTTACAGAATTCAGACATGTGGTTTTCAGAGTCGTAAACGTTGGACATATTTAATGGAACTAATCGATGAGTCGCTGCAGCTCCAGCAGCTGTTTTCTGTCATGTGTGACTCTGAGCAGCTGTTCTAACTCGACCTCTGCCGGGGGTCAACGTCCTGCAGTGACCCTTCGGCCACAGACGGCCGACAGGAAGCGGAAAGGTCAGACTTACTTTTGAGGAACTGAAGCAGGGAGAGCTCCTGGAGGGGCTTCGTCTGCTGCTTGCCGTCCGGTTTGGACTCTGCGTCGTCTGCAGCTTCCTGCGCAAGCATGGAAAAACATCGTCACATGGCGGACTGGAAACCGCTCAGTCTGCTGCCGGGAAGGTTTACGGTCACGACGCTGCAGGAAGCTTTAAATAAACGCATCCTGAAAACGACAGCGTCAGCAGGTCGGCCGACCGAGACGCCGCGTTGGACACAGTGTTCCTAACACATCTGATAGAAGCTCCTCCTGAACTCAGTGATATAAAACTACAATACATCCCATAATACTGTTGTTCAAAGTTGGTAGTAGAGGAAATGTGTTCAGACTGTGACACCTGGACGGATGTAAACCCGGTTATGAGTCTTGTTTTGTAGTTTTGTGTTCGTCTCCCGTCTGTGGTTTTACGTCCGGTTTGTGTCGTTCTGTTTGTCTTTGGGACACTTTTCTCCGCCGTGGTCACTTTGTTTATAGTTTTAGTCACTTAGCTTCTCACTTTTTGACATTTTCGGTCGTGTTTTTCTTTTCTTTGTCTGGTTTGTGTCTCATTTCTCTTGTTTCGTGTCACGTTTTGATCGTTTTATTCGTCGTTGGGCCGTTTTGTCTCTTTGTGACATGAAACTATGAGACATCCCATAATACTGATGCTACCAGAGGACATGAACAGAACCAGGTCCAGTGTTCAGACTGAGACACTGATCTGGTGTCAGGTTCTAGCAGAACCCAGATGTGTTCTTCCTCCTAAAAGTCATGTGTCTATCTGCTGCACTGATGAAGTTCTGAGGCTCAGAAATGATGAAGAAGTCCATTAAAGTGATCAATCTGGACCCTCCTCTGTGGACTTCAAGGACCTGGAACTCTGGAACCTTCACAGTCTGAAGGTAGAACTCTGGTCAGTAAATAAAAGGAAGGTTAAGGACTACAGCTGCTTTAGAAAGACTCTCAGAACTTCTTCATCAGAACCACCGTTGGACCCGAAACAAACCTTAAAAGCTGCTGTGACATTAGAATAAACGGACATTCTTCAGGGAGGCTTTGTTGATGCCTTTAAGAAGGTCAGGAGATGACTGATGTTATTAACGCTGGCCGTCGATGCCCGGCTCGGCTGCAGATGTTTCCTCTCGTAGCTCAGATGGATCCGGTCCAGATGTTGCTCCACATCTCTTCAGACGTCAGACAGATGAATTCCAGTTTGATCAAAGCCAAACGTCGCAGCTACTTTCACTTTGACAAGCTGTTCACAGAAGATTTCCAGGAAAGGTTTCGACTTTCTTTCTGTTTTTTTTTTCCTGGACTGATGTGAAGTTTAATTTATGTTTCATTCACACAAAAACTGAACCGAGCAGCAACTTAGATTCACACCTTTGAAGGTTTGTTTGAAACGGTTCTAATAAATGAAAACACACTGCAAAAAAAAAAACAAAACAAAAAACTAAACCTGTTAAACAATAATAATAATAAAAACAACTTGTAAATAAAATGGAGAAAATACAAACAAATTCATGTTAAAATATATTTTTGCTGATTTAAATACAGTAAAAAAAAAAAATAGAATTTTTCTATCAAACATTAAAGAATAGTAAAAAAAATTAGATTTATAAAAATACTGATCTTAGATGTAAACTTGATTTTAGCCTGTATTTTACAGCTGACATACAAATTAATCATTTTTTCTGTGATTTTAATTTTTTTTAAATTGAAATTAACAAACATTTTTTGCTGATTTAAACACAGTAAATAAAAGTTATCATTTCTGGTCAAATATAATCTGTGATTTGATGAAACAGCAGAATCTGTACAACAAACGGCGACAAATGTTTGTAAAATAATATTCTGGCTATTTGATTTAAATGCAGTCAAATCAGTGTTTAATGAGAATACAGATTGTTCTGATGTGGATTTTATTTATTACCTGTTATTTAATGACCTGGAAAACAACAGGAACTTGCTCAAGACAAATAAACAGACAAAGTAAAAGCTGACAGCAGAACTCTGACCTCCTGCACAGTTTCATCCGCTGGAATAAAAACGAAAGTGTTTGTCTGAATTGAACGTGAAGCCGAACCTTGTGACCCGTAGCTTTGGCCCGGTAATGAGAACAGGGAGTTCGTGCAGCTTGAGTGCTGTCGAGTCACTCGGTGTTCCAGTTGAGAAATCGGCGGATGATTCATCTCATTTAACAGATAAAACACGAGCAGAGTCCAACTTTCTCTTTGTTTTCTGGGTCTGAGCCAAAACACACGAGGTTCTGACTTTAACCCGTTCAGGAGCTTTAATCCTCTCAGCTCGTCGCTTTATTCGCCTGCTGGAGGCGTCTGAAGGCCACAGAGCCGACTTGTGCTGACCTTTGTCACGTCGCTGCGATCGTTTAGATAAACTGGCGTCACGAAGTCCAGCAACAAACACATAAAGCAGCAGCAGGAAGATCAGGAACCTTAAACCTGATCAGGAACCTTAAACCTGATCAGGAACCTTAAACCTGTTCGAAGGCCCACGTGGGGCTTTCATATCCCGACTGCTTCCATCTGCAGCGCCGTTCAGGTGCCACAAACCCAAAGGCTGTTTGTTCATCACAACCAGGTCCAACACGTGGGACCCAGTTGCTTCTGCGTTCCCTTTTCGCTGCAGATTCACGTAGCTGCCGGTGAGCCGGTGTGCTCGAGCTGCAGCGACTGCCGTCACGCTGAAGCCATTTTAAGGCAAAATGTAAATAATATGTAAACCTGATGCACAGAGGGGAGACTTTAGAGGGTAAACGGACAAAAACAAAGTTATTTCTGAGAATTAGTCGACGCTTCGAGAACTCTGATATTTAAGGAACGCTGCTGGATGGTTCCTGGAGGAACCTTCACTGTTCTGTTTAGAAAAAAGGTTCCTCCAGGAACCTCTAATAAGTCAAAAAGGAACCGTTTTAATACGAGTTCGACTGACAGTCTGCACCTACACGCTTCATTTATTGTGTTATTAAAGTTCAGTTCAGCTGCACATAAAACGCCATCAATCAACAACTGCTGACGCAGCAGATAGTTCACCGACATGAAGAGACGATCAGCTGAACATAAACACTTCATCAACGGCTTACGTTCATTATTTCTGTCTGTAAACTAAACTACTAACTACTAGCTAGTAACTAGTAACTAGTACTGCTGTTTAGTAGTTTGATCCAACCAGTTATTTACTTACAGCTAAGAATCACAATTTAAATCGTTTCAGACTGGATTCAGTCTTGTTTTAAACTGGTTTTAGTCCAATTTTAGACTAGTTTAA